TGCTCTGGTAAAGTAACTGTGTTTATTTGAATAAGATTTTTATGGTTTATATTTTTAGAGCTGATTTTTGGTTTATTTAATTTGAGCCGTGGGCGAGTTGACACTGTTTCAATGGGGGTGTGGGTGGGTAACAGAGGAGAAGCAGCAGAGAGGGGTGGAGGACTATATATATATATATATATATATACGCATCAGACCAGGTTTTCCCCAGAAAGAACTCCAGTTATCTATGTAGCCCACGTCGTTGTCAGAACACCACCTGGACACCCAGCAGTTAAACGACGACATACGGCTAAACATGTCATCGCTGGTCAGGTTGGGGAGGGGGCCGGAGAAAACTATGGAGTCTGACATGGTTTTAGCAAAGTCACACACCGAAGCAACATTAATTTTAGTGACCTCCGATTGGCGTAACCGGGTGTCATTAACGCCGACGTGAATAACAATCTTACTGTATTTAGCCTTAGCCTTAGTCAGCAGTTTCAAATAAGAGTCTATGTCGCCCACTCTGACCCCCGGAATGCATTTGACTATGGCCGCTGGAGTCCCTAAGGCCATGTTTCGGACTATGGAGCTTCCAATAACCAGGGTCTGCTTCTCAGCGGGTGTCACTGAGCGAGGAAAATCGATTAGAAACGTGAATGGGTCGGTGGTGAACTGAGGGCTTAGCCTTAGCACTACGCTTGCTCCGGACGTCACCCAGCCGGCCTGGGGTCCCAGCTGCTCGGGGTCTGCTGGAGGACCGGTAACGAGAGCTAGCCTCTGTGGTTCCGCGCTGTCTAAGGGGACCTGGCTAGCTACTGGTTTTTCTACAGCATGGAGCCGAGCTTCCAGTTCAGACAGCCTCTCCTCCAAAGCTACCATAAGACTACATTTCTTACATGTATCATTACCACTAAAGGAGGCAGAGGAGTAGCTAAACATCTGACACACGGAACAAGAGAAAACAGAGGAAGCAGGGAGAGAAGCAGCAGCCATGCTAAGCTAACGCTAGCAGAGCCAAATACACCAATAAAAACCGAGAAGTGTTGAAAGACAAGAGGTGATTTAAGCACTGTCCAACAGTAGAGAAACAACTGTACTAAGTGTGTTTGTGAACTAGAATGAAAAACTGGACAAAAGACAGATAAATCCAGAAAACAGACGACTCGAGCAAAAAAATCACTCAAGCTACCAACAGACAAACAGGAAATGACACAATACGTCTCCCCACGAACGTGCAACGTCAGCCAGGCGTTCAACACTGGAGCAGCAGCATATGACTCCAGTACGCCCCCTACATTATTCCAACAGTTATATCTCAGTGATACATGATTCGATCTGGACCAGATTTTGGGTGTGTCATCTGTGAACATTTCTAGACACATTGGTATTGTTGTTTAACATTTGACTCCAATGCACCCCATAGATTATTCCAACAGTTATATCTCAGTGATACATTATCTGATATGCACCAGATTTATTTTGCGTCCTCAGTGAGCACTTCTACACACACTGCTTTTGTTGTTTAACATTTCACTCAATTGCGCCCCCTACATTATTCCAAAAGTTATATCTTGGTGATACATCATCCAATCTGGACCTGATTTTTTGTGCTTCATCATTGAACACTTGTAGACACATTCGTAATGTTGAGTCATGACATCACATAATCCCCACCCACTCAGATAAAAACAGTTGATTATAGCATGACTCTTCCAGCGTCGCACTGTGTAAGATATTAGACTGATCCACCAGCAGTCACATGCTGAAGTGTCACTGGGCAAGTCATTGAACCCCTCATAGCCTCTGATGTGTGTCCCATCAGTGTATGAATGTGATCTAAAGCACTGATTAGTCTCTTTAGAATGATTTGTTCAATTATCTTTGTAGAGATCTAGTAGAGTGCTGTATGAATGGGTAAATAAGGACACAGATGTTGTGTAAAGCGCTTTGAGTATCTTGAAATAAGATAGAAAGGCGCTATATAAGTACAGTCCATTTACCATTTACTGAAACTTTGTTCACTAACTGTTGATTACCACACATGACATGTTGAAAATCATAAAGGAAGTTCTCATCAAACATTCGCAACAAAACAACAAGTCACAATAACTCCTGTCTGGAAGGTCAGATTTCACCTATACTTGTAAGGCCTGCAGCTGGACAAGTACTGACATAGACGGAAGGGGATGTTGAAGATTTGGGAAATGTGCCCCGTGGTGAACGCATGCGGGATAGGCATGAGAGCGTTCGTGATGGTGACTGGGTGGACTAGCTGGAGCTCCTGCTGTAGCCATAAGGACGGAGCAGCATTTTGCTGCGAGGGCCTCAAATGCTGCTTGTAGCTTTAATTTAGTCTTGATTGCTTAGCTATAAACAAATATGACAGTAGTAATAAATGCAGATTAATCCCAGTTTTCAGTCATAAACAGCAGTAGCAAGAAGAAAAATCCTACTAACTTGTGTAAATACGTGTACACTTGAAAAATTCACCCTAAATATTTCATTTAAGTCAGGATGGAAGTACAGTGATAAATAAATGTTTCAGCTCATGCCATCAGTCTGTTGCTGCTTTTATCATTAACAAACTTGCATCAAGTTCTGCATAGTTTGTTTGTTTTTCCCTCACACAACGTACAGACCCTGACAGGTAGCCACTATGATTAGTCAGTAGATTTAACGTTAGCAAAAATGTGCCTAATTTTTCATCTATAACATGACAGATGATCACATTTAGGTTAACGTATAAGAGAACATGATACCTGTTACAGCTGCGGATGAGTTTGATGCTACATCAGGTGTTTTCTCTTCAGACGCTGCAACATGGACGACGTGCTGTTGTGGTTACTCCAGTTCTGCTTTGCAGTGGAAGCATTGAGCTGTGTTGTCTTTTCCGTTTAGTCTAACATGTTCCCAAACTTTTGACAGTTTTTGTTGTTTTCGGGGCTCTTCTTTTACGCAGTCTCTGTTCTCTCTATAGCTACAAACTTAGCACATACGCGTTAGCGGAAGTGCTAGCGTTGTGTAATACAAAAACCTTCCAGCTAGACCACAGTGCTCTGAATAGTTTAACGAAACTTCGAAGCAGATACATTTGCCTCGAGGATTTTTTGTAATCGAGGTCCTCGAATGATTCGAGTTGTTTCAGCCCTAAATATAAGGTATATTATACATATTATATAAAGTAAACAAACATCTTACATGAGACACACAGAGAGCATGACTTGGCTTATTAGCTTTAACAGCACACTCCATGCAACTTAACTTCTGCATGACTAAAATATACATTACCATCTTAACATCCAAACTAAATGATATAGCATCAATAGGCTCACCTTCTGTCATTTACACACAGCAGTAAACCAGGAAACCAACAGATGTTCAAAATAACAAAAATCTGTCCATGTTGGGAGAGAAAAAGACTTTACTGCATGCAGTACCGTACTTTACACAGAACGGTGCGTCAGAACAGCCACGATGCATTCAATAACGTAGGAATCATGATATTCAGAAAGAAAACAAGCTACAGTCAAACAGAAAGCTCAGCAAGCAAACTAACAACATATTAACAATGTGGACTTTCTAACAAGAAACATATAGAAATCATTACTAAAAAAAAAAAAAACAAAAAAAAAAACCTCAATTCCACTTAGGGGAGCCCCTACTGGCTCCAGGGCCCTAAGCAGCTACTTATAATGCTTATGCCTCAGGCTGGCCTTGACAGTCCATTTACCATGTATATTTACCATATACCATCCATTATCTTTTACCCACTTCTTCCAATTTGGGTCATGGGGGTCGCCGGTGCCCATGTCCAGCAATCACTGTGCGAAGGGCGGGGTACACCCTGGACGGGTCGCAAGTCCATCACAGAGACACATAGAGACAAACAACCATTCACTCTCTCACTCAATTTAGAGTTACCAATCAGCCTAACATACATGTTTTTGGTCTGTGGGAGGAAACCGGAGTACCTGGAGAAAACCCACACATGCACAGAGAGAACATGCAAACTCCACCCAGAAAGGCCCCCGGACTGGGATTTGAGCCAGGGACCTGCTCGCTGAGAGGCAGCAGCTCTAGCAATGGCGCCACCGTGCTGCTTATATATATATATATATAAATATAATGTACTAAAGGAATGCATATTATCTACCTCTTCTTTGAAACTAGATCATTTGAAGGAGAAAAGGGACAAAGTTACAGCCATTTTTGTCAAACCTTGTAAATGGGAATATGCAAACTCTTGTGCAATATTGTGAGATCTCAGAAGGCCTGTTAGCGTTCAAAGTGCATGCTGAGGATGATTTTGAGCTACTTCTACTATTATCTGTACTGTAGTTTAAAATCTGTAAACTTAACTTGGTTATTGCCATTTTCGTGTTGATTAACGCAGGTTAGCTGCGGCAGCTATCCTAACTCAAGTTAACATACATTTAATCAGTTTTTGAAGTATAACCAATAATTACTTTCTGTGAATTCCATTAAAATCCATTCAGTGCTTAATGAGAATTATTTTTTAGACTGACAGTATTGACTAACAGCTGAAGCTGAATTTTTAAGCAAAATTGTTGTGAAATATTTAGCACTTGAAGTACATGTTGTAAAATGAATTTCAGCTACTACCACTTTAGATTTTATTTCAAGATCTGTAAAATTGATGGAGTTTTAGCCATGCTGGTGTCTGCTAAGGGAGCTTATTTGTGGTGGCCATCTTGAATAGGCTTCACTCCATATGTCAACCAGTTGTGTGTGTGTGTATATATATATATAT